CATAAATATGATATAGACTTATATAAGCCAAATATGTATTATATAATTTATTTTATTTATTTATGTAATATAGTGTTCGACACTATGTCAACACATCTTTGTTGGGTAGCAGCAACACAGAAAATTAGGGGTCACCCCATGTGTGCCTAATAAAGACCTCGAAACCTCAGACTCACCTCAAACTGAAATATCCACCAATGCATCCACAGATATTCCTATATTCAATGTCCCAGAAATCATAACTTTCGAACCGAAAAAAATAAAACCCACCTCATCAAATACCAATCACGTCGAAAAAGGTAAGAAAACATCCACCTCTCCTATTAATAATACGACCCAGGATCTCTTCGATTTAATAATAGATAAACCGGAATTTCCAGTTGCTTCGTCATCAGTGTCTATTGCAGAGCAGGCCGTTAGGCGATTCTCTGAATCATGGGACAAAGTCCCTACCGATATATCTCCGCCACCCGAGATCGTACACGTAGAACTTGTGGACGATAAATCCGAACCAGTTTCTGAGATCATTAAACCGGTGAATGATAAAGTTGAATATCCAAAAATTATCGAATTGATAAATGATCCCGAAATCTCTCCCGACTTACCTGTAAACAATGAACCAAAAACCATTAACGAAGTATCTCCCCAGCAGATATCATGCCCACCCGGATATCAAACCAGGGAGCAACGAGAAATACGATTAAGACAAAAAGCCATCGAACTTGGTGAGGATCCAGATAAGTTCGTTACTATTACTGAAAAAGATAGGGATTTGGCGAGAATTTATTATGATAAAATGATGGCAGATGCGGAAATAATTGAATTTGCACGAAGCGATGGGGTCGATCCAGAGAACTATATGGAACTGTCCAGACGAGAAAAATTAATATGTATGGAGATTGATCTTCGGCTATATGAAGATAAAGGCGAACCCCGAGCCTATACATGCATTTATAATGATGAGGACTGGGCAAAAAATATAGAGATACTCCGGGAAAATGGATATCTATGGTAAGTTATTTTAACCACTTTTATTATGCTAAGGGACAAATAAGGTGAGTTTTGCAAATAGGAGCTTCGCTATAGGGGAATTTTTTGCTCCTACAAACTAGCTGATATAAAATTTTTAGATAAAAAATATTACGCAAACTTTGTGTTATATATACTGGTTTTTGTGACACTTAAAAACGATATTTGGTAAATTTTTCATTCTCGAATTTAATTTTAAATATGAAATCACTAATACTAATAGAATAATATAACCATTTTGTGATATCGAATCGAAATGCCTTGTAATTGGTTATTAGTCGGTGAAACCCATTTATGCAAGATCCCAGCAAAAGGACAATATTTCATTCATTGGTGACAATAGTTCCGTCTTCCTTCTATCCATAATTGTCCTCTCGCTTTGCCTCGCTTTGCCTCGCTTTGCCTCGCTTTGCCTATGCCTGTGGGTTATTCGAGTCCATAAACATTCATTCACGTCGTATCCATATACAATTGACACCAACATTCGGTCGCCATGAAGAAGACTATGAAAAAGACTTCTACCGTGCTACCCATGCATTCAAGATTCGAAAGGGTGTAATAATCCCCCGACCATGTAAAGGATGTGGGCGAGGAACTAAATCGAGTCTTCAGCTTTGTGTCCCGTGTGGTCAAGGTAGGGAAAGAGCGTATAAATATTATAAACAGAAGCGTATAAGAGAAACTCTGCATGCTTAATATCTGTATATACGAAGCAATTTACTAGATATGTATCCCGCCTTCTCGGTCTATAACCTCGAAGCCAGATAAATGCTGTTAACATATACATCTTTTTTCTGAGAGACAGAGGAAAAAAGGAAAAATAACCAATTAAACTTATTATTTTCATAAGTAACAATTAAGTATTATCATTTTCATAACTAGTAACACACCAATCATGTACACCGAAGAGCCGGAATACAACAAAGAAACGATTACTGCTGAGCAATTATCAAAATTGACTAATCGTTGGAGAAAGCCAAAAATCTATAACCCCAAAACAAATCGCATGATTACAATCAATGGACCAACATATGATAAATTGATACGTGATGGATATGTGCTTTGGGAAGAAGAAGGACTCTTGGTTCCTCCATCACCATTCGAGGAATATATTAGCGAAGCAAGTACCAAAGGTGCTAAAAAATAAAACATGTTATCTAGTAACTTGATATGCAATATAGCCTGAGTCGCCACAACTCGAAGCTATAATTTTTTTTTTTCGTTATATCCTATATATTGGTAACTTTCAAATCGACAGATTTGACCCAAAGCATTGACGTGTATCATATACCTGGCATATATAGATTAAAACTTTTGATCGAACTCGTGTCTTGTTCGCGTCCATTTTCCGATAGAATTACAATAACCACGACCCATTCAATTTTTGGGTATAGCTATCAGCAGATAATTAATTTCGATTTGAAAAAATATTTTTTATAGTGTAAATAACCTAAAGAATTGTTCATAACCTACTCAATATTAGATCATGTCAGCTATTGTAACTAAAATCGTTAAAAAATACAATCTCAACAACGAGATGAGTGTATCTGAGCTCAGTAAATACACCTCAGAATTTCTTGAAAACCTTACCGATGATAGAAAACGGAATCAAGGTCGACAACGTCTTCGAGAGGGTTTTAAATTTAGCAGTGATCAGGTAAGTATATTAATACCTAATCAAAGAGGTAGTAAGGCCAAGATTATAAATGTTATCGAGGGCAGTTGCAAAATAGCTATAGCTTCGCCCCCAAAAGATTTGGAAGAGGAGATTATCAGAGAGATAACTAAACGAATCTTACAGAATAGATATGGCTTTAGTGAAGATCAAGTAAATGCCTTATTTGCTTTGCAAAGCGACTTACGTCGCCTCTCGATCCAGAAAAACGGAAGTAGCCACAGTGTAACTACCTCAAATAAAAACGTAAATATTGTGATTTCCAACAAACCCTCGAAAGGAATGGAGGAAGAAACTATCGGAGATATGGCGCAACGGATTTTACGGGATAAACTTAGTATTAGAGATGTAAGAGCTGAAGCTTATGCCTTAGCCCTATCAGCAAAAAATGCTAATGTTGGCTCATCACGTCTCACTCGCCTTCGTAGAGAATTGAGGAACCTTAATGCATCACTTGAGATAATCGAGGCTACGAAATTTCCAGATATTACAGAAGATGCCAACAAAATCCAAAGTGTCAATCAGAAAAAGGCTGAAACTAAACGTATCAATTATCCAGATGAATTTACATTAGAATCGGTCAAAGAAAGATTAGATGGGTATGATTTAAAAACTCCGCCTGATTTACAAGCCCTCGCAGATGTTATGATAATGCTTTGTATTCGACCTGCTGAACTTAAAACTTTACGCATTACAAATGCTGGAGTGATGGGATATGCGAAAAATCGAGGTCAGCCAGATATTCCTAGAAAATTTTAGATCTATGGAAAAGAATCAAGAACGAGCTAAAGAACTACTCACTTGGATTCAGCATGCTATATCATCTGGACGAATGGGTGATCCAGGTAAGCCAGGAGTTAAATGGTTCAATAAATTCTTAAAAGATTATG